GTCTATAGTCTAGTCTATAGTCTAGTCTATAGTCTAGTCTATAGTCTAGTCCTAGTCTAGTCTATAGTCTAGTCTATTGTTTAGTCTGTCTAAGTCTAGTCTTGTTAGTCTATAGTCTAGTCTATAGTCTAGTCTATAGTCTAGTCTATAGTCTAGTTATTCTAGATAGTTTTCTAGTAATATACAGTCTATAGTCTAGTAATTTTAAATAAATATTTCATATAATTATATTAGTTTTAATATTAGTCATTAAAAAAATTTTAAAAATACTTTTCATTTTTTTAAGCACAGTTTAAGCCTCTATAAGATCAAATCCTACATAATTTTCAAATCGTTGTGATTGTGCAGTAAAATTCCTTATAAGTATTTGATTTAAGAAATTAGTTTTTCGTTTTTTACTTTAAGCTTCAAATTTCTTTTACATTTTACTTAAAAGTAAAACCCCTTGCCCTTACTTTCACATCCTCAGTTTACCCTCAAAGCTTTTGGTAATCTTTGACAAACAATTTTCACATACTCTACTATTTTCCTTATCAAAACTTGTAGTTTCGAATATAAATTTAAAACATTTATGTAAATGACAAATGTTATCATAGTGTAACCGTTTTACATATTACATAGCATAGATCAACAATAAAAACTTTTAAATTTCCTAAATGAATTTAGGAAATTAGCTTGCCACCACAACACTCATACTCGCACTTTTAGAAACTAAAATTTACAATATTCAAATGAGGGTTTTTGCCAAAATAAAATGTGTTAATGCTGGGAGTTACATTTGAATAATAGACATTGTACATATAAAAGAACATTTACATATATTAACACAAATATCAAAAGGGGGTTGGGTTTTTTTCATTGACAGACTGTAAAGTTTAAACAGTGACAGGAATAATTTCTGAGAATTTGTACAGAGTAAATGTTAAAGAAAATTTTGCATTTTTGTTGAAAATATCAACTTTTGATATTTTTTTAAATTTTTGTTTTCATTATTTCAATTTATCAAACGATCCTCGTATTTATTTCCTCGTATTTCATAACGTATAATTAATATTATTTATGGTAAAATATTCTCCATGACGTATGATTGATATTAATTAGGTCTTTTTTAGCCATTACTCCATTATTTTTGCACAGATTTTAAAATCTTTCAATACAAATTAAAGCTAAGATTTAGTACTTTCTAGACATAGGAATTTTAAAATCTAAAAGTTACACCTCTCCCTGGTTTATCGCTTTAAAGTAGTAAAACATAAAATTGTTAATAAATTTAAATCTTTTAATATAAACTAATTTGAAACATTTAAAACAACTTTAATTTGAGTTAAAATAAAACAAAACTTTGTTTAAGATATTCACCATGACGTATGATTAATATTAATAATATATTTTTTTACATTTTCTCTTAAAATACTCTTATTTTTGCAGAGATTTTTAAATTCTGTTTAAAGCTAAGACTTGATTTATAGAAATAAGTTTTTTCAAATCAAATAATTACACCTGTCCCTTGTTTAACGCTTTAAATTTAATTTTTCATAATTTACTTTAATTTTTTATAAGTTTTGTTAACAAAAATCATATTTTTAAAGTTTTTTATAAGAAAACCTTTAAAAAATATAAAAATTTTGAATTGTTTAGCAACCAAAGCTACGCTTAATAACAAGCTATAGACATATTAAGCTTTAGGTTGGATTTTTTATGCCATATGCAATAATTTACTAAGAATTGTTATATTTTATTAAAAACCTGAAATGTTCTTAAACTTAATCCGTTTAAATCTTCAAAATCGGTTAAAATTTAAGAAAGTTATAGTCATTTTAATGAAACAACTTCTAATTAATATCAATCATACGCCCCCCTATTCATATAATAAAATATTAAAAATTCAACATTTTCTCTTAAAACTTTTAATATTTTTCTTAAAATTCTTAAATTTAACATAAAATTTCTTTAATTTAACTAAACATTTATATAAAATTCCCAATTTTCCTTCCTTTACTGTTCACCAAACTTTTACATATAATTTTCTATGCTAATTCCTGGAGATAAGTATATGTATTTATGCTAAAATAATATGGGTGTTAAAAATTTACTCAAGCACATTATTTGCTTTTCAGCAGTATTTTTGGTGGGTTTTTCCCCCTTTCTTTTTTAGGGTTTTTTTCTGTTTGCCACGAAATATATTGTCAACTGAAAAAAAAAAAATATTTCCACAACTTAGCTCTTTTGTTTTTAACGATATTGTTGGGGTTATTTGTAAAACCATAATGATAATCTTTTATATATGTTTACGCTCTCATCATTTATAGAAAATTTGCAAGATTTATTCATACAATGCATTCATTACTTTTTTTGTACTGTGGCTGCGCTGCTGTGTGTTAAAAGTGTGATAAAATTAATTTGATTTTTATGTTTATTTCAGTGATTTTTTTTTGTTCGTGTCTTTTGTTCTTTTATTTAATTTGTTTAATATTCACTCTCTCATGTATTATGCATTTTCATTCTTTAGGTTTGAAGGCTTAAATAACATTATTGGAATGGTGTCAATGTATATTTGCAGATAATGTTAAAATATTTAAATTTAAAAGGCTTTTCTATCAGGTTTAATACAATTTTATTAAACATTTTCCTAAAAACTTGTAAATTAACCAAATTTCCCAAACGACCCTCGTATTACTTTTCAGAATTTTATAAAACTTCTTTTATGTTAACATAAACTAGTTTTTAAATGTCAAAAAAGCTTTCATTTCACCCTAAATAACTAAGTTTTCTAAAATAGTACACCACGACGTATGATCGATATTAATTATGTCTTATTTTACATTTTCAGCCATAAATTTCTTAATTTTCAACAGATTTTTAAAATTTGAACAGAAATTTGCAGCTAAGGCTTTAATCATTCGAAGTGTGTAAACCTTCTTTCTTAAGATTTTCTCAAACCCCTCGTATATTGTCTCAAATTTTAAAAAATATTTTAAAATATATATTAACCAAATTTCCCAAACGACCGTCGTATTACTTTCTAGAATTTTATAAAATTTTGTTTATGCCAACATAAACTTATCTTAAAATGTTAAAAACGCTTTAATTTAACACTAAATAACAAAGTTTTCCAAAATTGTACCATGACGGATGATTGATATTAATTATGACTTGTTTTACAATATGAGCTACAATTCTCTTACTTTTCAACAGATTTTAAAAGTTGAAAATGAAATTTAAAGCTAAGGCTTAAAGCTTTCCTAATAGTTAACATTCTTTAACAATGATAACTCATAACCATCGTATATTACCTCAAGTTCTGGAAAATATTTTAAAATATTTCTCTTAACATTTTAGATTTATTATTTTATAAAATTTTTAATATTTTATTATTAAAAATATATTTTTATTTAAAACTTAAAACTTTATTTATTTATTGTTACTTTTTTCCCCAAAAAATTGGAACCGACCCTCGTTTTTTAAAGTTTGATTAAAGTTCAACTGAAAAGAAAACTAAAACATTTAACACAAATATACTTTTAATCAAAATACACCATAGCATATGATTAATTTAAACTCAAATAATCAAATCTTCCTAAATTGTATAACATGACGTATGATTGATATTAATTATAACTTGTTTTACATTTTTAGCCATAATTCTCTTAATTTTAAACAGATTTTTAAAACTTGAACTTGAAATTTAAAGCTAAGACTTGTAGCTTTTTAAATTTGGAAACCTTTATTAACAACAATTGCTCGCCACCCTCGTATGTGGTTTTAAATTTGATAAATATTTCTAAATATTTTAATTTTTAATACTTTATTATTAATAACACATTTATACATCAAATTTAAAGTTTTATATTAATTATTGCTATATTTTCTCCAAAATTAAGAAACGACCCTCGTTTTTTAAAGTTTATTTTACTTTGATAACATTCAAAACAAATACCTATACTTTTAATACAAATACACCATAGCGTATGATTAATTTAAACTCAAATAATGAAATTTTACAAATTTGTACACCATGACGTATGATTGATATTAATTATGACTTGTTTTAAATTTTTAGTCATAATTGTCTTATTTTTCAACGGATTTTTAAAATCTGAAATGTCGTTAAAAGCTAAGACTTAAAGCTTTCTTCACATAAGATTTTTCTCAACTAAAAATTACATCTCTATCTCGTATTACGTTCTAAACTAAAATAAAATAATTTTATTAAAAATAATAGTTCCCGACTTAGTTAATATTGTAACTTTAAAACAACTGTTTGTTATTGTTGTTGTAAAAAATACGTTTTTCTAATTATGCATAGATTTGTAAAGGTTATAGACCCCTTTATCATTATATCTAAAACAATTTGTGTTTCTTTATTTGCTCCTATTAGCTTTAAATCGGATTAGTAATATAGTAAATCATACTCTTGTTTTAGCTTTTGTATCTCCATCTCTTTTTCTATTTTCCTTACTCTCTTCAAATAAACTTTAACAACTATTGTCACAAATTCTTTTCAATTTAAGTAGTTTTTTTACTTTTCTATTTTGTTTATATTTATCCTTTTTTTTTCTAGTATTTGTTATTGTTGTTCATTTTGTTTCTTTTTTGTTGCTTTATTTTAATTAAAAACTCTTTAGAATAGTGTTTAAAGAAGAGACTTTCGACACAGAGTAAGAGATTAACACAAGAACCAATCAACATTAAACTCAATTAACACTTTAACTATGGAGTATTTTGTCTGTTTATTTTAGAATTTATTTGAGAGTTTTTTAACAAAATAAAATAAAATAAAACAAAACCAAAATAGTCTGATGGAACAAGTGCTGTTAATTTAATTGTTATTTAAAGGATTTTGTAGCTAAATGTTTTGATATTTTAAGGATTTCAAACTTTTCATAAATTTTTAATTAAGTAAATTAAAAACATTTATTACATACATATAAAATTTAAAAGTTCAAAATAATCTCTCTTTATTTAATTTTATTGCAAATAAACATTTAAAGTTTAAATACCTTTTGTTAAATAAATTTTGTTTTTATGAGCTGCTTATCGGTGTCTTAAGTTGTAAATCTTTTTTGGTTTTTATCATTTAATCCTTGTTTTCTGGGCTTAGTAGTTCAGCTGGAAGTAGATAAAAGAAAAAGAATAATATATAAAAACATATGTTTTTTTTTTTGGGTAAACTGATTTAATAAAATACTACATAATTGTATGTCGAAGGTCTATTAAATAGACAAGTCGATAGTTTAGTCGATAGTGTAATCGATAGTCTAGTCGGTAGTCTACTCAATGCTCTAGTCGATAATTATAGTTGATAGTATTTTCGATAGTCTTATCGATAGGCTATTTGATAGCCTAGTAGACAGCCTAATAGATAGTCTAGACGATAGTTTAATCATAGTCTGATAGTCCAGTAGACAGTCTTGTCAATAGTCTAGTCAATAGTCATGTCAAAAGTTTAGTCGATATTCTTGTTGATAGTGTTGTCGATAGTCTAGTCAATAGTCTTATCGATAGTCTATGCGATAGCCTAGACTATAATCTAATCATAGTCTAGTAGATAGTCCAGTTGATAGGCGAGTCGTAGGTCTAGTCGTTAGTCTAGTCGATAGTCTAGTCGATAGTCTAGTCGATAATCTAGTCGATAGTCTAGTCGATAGTCTAGTCGATAGTCTAGTCGATAGTCTAGTCGATAGTCTAGTCGATAGTCTAGTCGATAGTCTAGTCGATAGTCTAGTCGATAGTCTAGTCGTTAGTCTAGTCGATAGTCTAGTCGATAGTCTAGTCGATAGTCTAGTCATAGTCTAGTCATAGTCTAGTCATATATTCACTATATTCTATAGTCACTATATTCTTGTTGATAGTGTTGTCGATAGTCTAGTCATAGTCATAGTCTAGTCATAGTCTAGTCATTAGTCATAGTCTAGTCATAGTCTAGTCATAGTCTAGTCATAGTCTAGTCATAGTCTAGTCATAGTCTAGTCATAGTCTAGTCATAGTCTAGTCATAGAGTCATAGTCTAGTCATAGTCTAGTCATAGTCTAGTCATAGTCTAGTCAGTATAGTCATAGTCTAGTCATAGTCTAGTCATAGTCTAGTCATAGTCTAGTCATAGTCTAGTCATAGTCTAGTCATAGTCTAGTCATAGTCTAGTCATAGTCTAGTCATAGTCTAGTCATAGTCTAGTCATAGTCTAGTCATAGTCTAGTCATAGTAGTCATAGTAGTCATAGTCTAGTAGTATAGTCATAGTCTAGTCATAGTCTAGTCATAGTCTAGTCATAGTCTAGTCATAGTCTAGTCATAGTCTAGCATAGTCTAGTCATAGTCTAGTCATAGTCTAGTCATAGTCTAGTCATAGTCTAGTCATAGTCTAGTCATAGTCTAGTCATAGTCTAGTCATAGTCTAGTCATAGTCTAGTCATAGTCTAGTCATAGTCTAGTCATAGTCTAGTCATAGTCTAGTCATAGTCTAGTCATAGTCTAGTCATAGTCTAGTCATAGTCTAGTCATAGTCTAGTCATAGTCTAGTCATAGTCTAGTCATAGTCTAGTCATAGTCTAGTCATAGTCTAGTCATAGTCTAGTCATAGTCTAGTCATAGTCTAGTCATAGTTAGTCATAGTCTAGTCATAGTCTAGTCATAGTCTAGTCATAGTCTAGTCATAGTCTAGTCATAGTCTAGTCATAGTCTAGTCATAGTCTAGTCATAGTCTAGTCATAGTCTAGTCATAGTCTAGTCATAGTCTAGTCATAGTCTAGTCATAGTCTAGTCATAGTCTAGTCATAGTCTAGTCATAGTCTAGTCATAGTCTAGTCATAGTCTAGTCATAGTCTAGTCATAGTCTAGTCATAGTCTGTCATAGTCTAGTCATAGTCTAGTCATAGTCTAGTCATAGTCTAGTCATAGTCTAGTCATAGTCTAGTCATAGTCTAGTCATAGTCTAGTCATAGTCTAGTCATAGTCTAGTCATAGTCTAGTCATAGTCTAGTCATAGTCTAGTCATAGTCTAGTCATAGTCTAGTCATAGTCTAGTCTAGTCATAGTCTAGTCATAGTCTAGTCATAGTCTTGCATTTTGTCTCAATATAAAAATTTAATTAAAAAACAAGTAAGAAAGTATAGTCGGGCGTGGCCGACCATATGATACCCTACACCAGTTATGAATATTAAATGTGATTTATTTTTCATAATAAAGCATTTATCTTCAATATTCCCTTGTTCCGATACATTTAAGTAATTTATGGATGAAAAAAAAAATTTCTGAAAGAGGCTTTATATGGGGGCTAGGGGCAAATATGGGCCAAGCCCGATAAAATTTTGTGAATATATTTATATTTACATAATATTTTATTGTGCTGAATTTCATCGTGATATTTGTCTTTATAAGTTAATTTTGGGACATTCAAGTAATTTTCTGAAGGGCCCGATCTTTATGAAATTTGGCAGGGTCATCAAGACTTCTATAAAACTTAGTTGTGCCGTATTTTATCGATATATCTGTATATTTAACATAATTATGAGATCAGAAGCCCTTTTCGGGGGATTCTGTTCTATGGGGGCTAGGTGAAATAATGGACCGATTTTAACCATTTTCAATAGGCTTCGTCCTGAGGTCAAATAAAACGCGCGTGCCAAATTTCATCCAATTATCTTGAAAATTGTACCTTGCGCACAAGGTTTACATGGACAGCCAGCCAGACGGACGGACTTAATCGACTCAGGTGGGACGAATATTTTTGTATGCTACAAACATCAGCACAAATCCAATATACCCTCCCCACTAAAGTGGTGTAGGGTATAATGACTTCAAAACTGCTTATAAATAAAATCAATTATAATTTTTTTTTATGCTCCAAATTTAAACTTCATTAGTTTACCAAACTATTCTATGGCCCATTGTTGCCTTTCTCTCTCACTCTCTCCATCTCTTAATCCATTTATCATCGAAAATTTCCTCTTTTAAGTATTAACGACTTTGGCATAAAACACAATTTAATATAAAATAAATCCCTGTGGTCTTAAGCTCCCACACTCACACTCATTCACTCTCATATTTAGTGCAACAACTATAACATATCTCCTTCGTGCTCACAACCACTAACTCAAAATTCATACATATTGTGGCATCAAAACCACCACATACCACATGGCCACAAATTTCCACTATGCAAGCTTGCAACAATTGAACATGTTGCTGTGCATGAGCAACACCACTAACAATGCACTAGCAGCAGCAGTATGAACAAAAAATATAAAATAATGAGAAAGAAGACAACAAAAAATTGAAAATAATTTTCAACAAATATTTTGTGCAGTTTTTTTGTTCAACGTTCATTACACTCACGACATGAACTCTTAAGAGTACAAGGAGAAAAGACATGCAACACATTGTACAAATCTTAAACTTGTAAATCTATTGTCCTTGTTTTGGAGGGGTTGAGGGGTGTGTGGGGGAGTTAGATGAATGTTGTTTTGTTTAACTTTTTCTTTAAGCCATTTTGTCATAACTTTATGCCTGTTAGCAAGTCACGTGCAAATGTTGCGACAAGTGGTAGAGATTTTTTTGTTAATAATTTTAAGACGATTTGAGGTTTTTTCCCTCCATAACATTTTTAAACCATGAAGGAGTTGATGATACTTTACAGCACACCGGAGTAATGTGTGTGAGAAAATGAAGAGAATTTTTAAAATTTACTACAAACATAAAAATTCTTTTGTTTACTTCACACTATGAAGTTTTCAAAAATATACCCTTAACAAAAAAACTATCTTAGCAGTTGTTTTTCTTTTCTACCCATTGTGCAAGCACTTTTTTTGTTCATTGGTCTGCCTGGCTTACTGCTATTTTAACTATAAAAAGATGATGCTCTTAACTTTTTTATTCCTGTTGAACTTTTTCTAAAGACTACGGGTTAAAAAACCATAGAAAAAATTTTACGGCCAGACAAAGCCACAAATTGTTTTTTTATGTAGACAAGTAGATGGTTACAGTTTTATTTTAAGTTTTTTCCCTCTTTTTTGGTCTCTTTATTAGCTTTTAATGCGACATATTGGGAAAATAATGTTATCAAAGATTTTTTGGAGATAATTTGTAGACAAAACTATAAAAAAAGATTTTATTTAATTTTGTTTGTTATTTACCCAACAAAATAGCGTAAATAATATAGCGTATACTTATAAAAATGGGAAAACTTTGGGGCGAAAAGAAAGACCACAAAATAAGGAAGGTTTCACAACTAAACTATCAAATAGTCTAACGACTAGACTACAGACTTGGCTATTGACGAGGCTCTTGACTTGACTATCGACTAGACTATCGACTAAACTATCGACAAGACTATCGACTTGACTATCGACTAGACTATCGACTAAACTGTCGACTAGACTATCGACTAGACTATCGACTAGACTATCGACTAGACTATCGACTAAGACTGTCGACTAGACTACTGACTAGACTGTCGACTGGTCTATCTACTAGACTATAGGCTAGACTATCGGCTAGACTATCGGCTAGACTATCGACTAGACTATCGACTACAGTTTCGACTAGACTATCGACGAGACTATCGACTAGACTATCAACTAGACTATCCACTAGACTATCGACTAGACTATCGACTAAACTATTGGCTAGACAATCAACTAGACTGTCGACTAGACTATCGACTAGACTATCGACTAGACTATCGACTAGACTATCGACTAGACTATCGACTAGACTATCGACTAGAGTTTCGAATAGACTATCGACTCGACTATCGACTAGACTATCCACTACAGTATCGACTACAGTATCGACTAGACTATCGACTAGTCTGTCGACTAGACTATCGGCTAAACTATCGGCTAGACTGTCGACTAGACTATCGACTAGGCAATCGACTAGATTATCGACTAGTCTGTCGATTAGACTATCGGCTAAACTATCGGCTAGATTGTCGACTAGACTATCGACTAGGCAATCGACTAGATTATCAACTAGACTATCGACTAGGCAATCGACTAGATTGTCGACTAGACTATCGACTAGATTATCGACTAGACTATCGACTAGACCATCGACTAGACTATAGACTAGACTATCGATTATACTATCGGCTAGAGTTTCGATTAGACT